AGGCAGGCGGAATCTTGGTCAGGCGCTCCACTGTTTTATGGGCTATTGGCAGCACTAACTGTTTCACGGACTTCACCACGTTCTCATTGAGGCGGTGCTGCTGGCTAATTCCTGGCTGTGACCCAAAGGCAAAATTGGCCAAGTCCTTTGGCCCCGTCGCAGCAGGCGGAATCCTTGCCAGCTTCTGAACTTGCTCTACAGCGGAGCTGAGAATGATCTCTGGCAGCAGATGCTGTGGCAGCGGCGCTGAGGCGGAGGTGCTGGGCCTGCTCGTTACCAGCATGCCCTGCACCTTGGCAATGGCATGGGACAAGGCCACAGTGTGCGCATTGGCCACCACCGGAGGTAGTGTGGTCGCTGCATCTGTGGGCGTGGCAGCCGTGGGTGCTGCTCCAGGTGTCAGCTGAGAGCTAAACGAATCCGGGTGTTCAGCTAGAATGGCCAGATTTACGGTTGCCTCCTGCAAAGCATCCGCATTCTCCGAAATCGCCTGGCCAACGACTCCACTCTGTGTGTGTGTCTGTTGTGTGCGTGTCTGTGGGTGCGTGTGACCTATGAACTGCTCACCTGGCACAGCGGCTGCCGCCGGGGACAGCGGCTGCGAGAGCGGACGTATCTCGTTTTTCGTATTGCGATTGCCTTGAGCACTCGCAGGGTTGTTCTTCGTTTCTGGCGAGGAGTTGCCCAAGAAGCAGCCCGAACAGGCGACCGTATGGAAATTGTGCTTGGTCACAGGCGTCGGGGTGCGTTGCGTGCTCGTCGTGGGCGGCGGGCTCTCTATCAGTTAAAAATCAGTATAAGTTTTGAATAAGCAAAGGGAACAACTTGTGAAGTCTCAAATGACGCCCTAGCAAATCGTGGGGCCACAAGTGGAGCACTTCACTCTGCTTCATGTATACTTACTGGGCGCCTTGGGACCCGCATACGGAAAGTTCTTCATGGAGATGATACGAAATTTGCCATTCTCGTCAGTCGCATAGACAGTTACATGGTAGATGCCATCGGCGGTGATAAAGCCAAATTCGCCCATTACAATGCCATTCTCGTCTGTCAAAAGGGCGGAAGAGAAGCTGATTAGCATTTCATAAGCGCGTTAAGCCGACCTAGTCGTAAGTGATTCACCGACTCATGCTCTGTAAGCTGTAGCTGTCGAGTGCTGGGGGATCAACAATATTCGCATTCTCTTGAAATCGTAAGGCTGTAGTAATGTGCTATCGATATTTATCGTACTTTTTCTGGGGGAAACATCTATATACAATGTGAATAGTTTGTGCCATTCTATTTTATGTATGTTTGTTTGATCGAAGTTATATAAGAAGAACATCCTATCAACTAACTCAACAAATATATCTTTAATCATTGGCCATATATTATAAATGATGTAAAAAAATAAGAAAATAATCTGCAGACTTTCACGGGGAATCGATAGCTATCAGGAATATCATTTAAAATTGATGCAACCTTTAAACTTAAATTAAAGATTCCTATGCATCTATGCTTACAGCTGAAAGTATTCCAGGGTATTGGGTACAGGGCATTGTGACAACATTTCATAAATTACCTTCATTATTGGTGCTCAGAAAGCATAACTGGTTCAATTCTTTTTTTCATAATTCGTTTGACAAACCAGCCAAACAGGCGCTGAAGCTTGGCTATAAAGATAATCATCTAATAAACTGTTGTGTTATGATGATGATCGTCATCTTGTTATCTGCCGCTGCCTCTGCTTCTTTTGTCAACACAAGCGAATATATGTTGAGAGTTATGCTCGTCTCAGCTACATCCTGCTACAACTAAAGCCACCCACCTGTACAGCACCTGATACAGTCAGTCTGTTGCGGTTTGAGTTTGCTTTTGTTGCGCTCACGGCTAGCCTAAACGAGTTTCGTTTCGCACTTATCGAGTGCCGATCGCGTTCTTTAAACGCTTTAATGCCTGTTGCGCGATTGTTTGTATTATTTTAATGTCTATAATCGGCTGTCAATTCTTTATGACCGACTCTGACGCTAAGGCCCGTGTAAGATCTTAGTATATAGGGTATTCAAATGTCACTTGAAATATCAAAAGTTAGCAGAAAAGATTATTGTTTGCTTTTTTGTTTGCTTGATTGTAAAGATTCGGAATAGGAATGAGATACTTTAGTAGAGAGATTGAGAGATAGTCTTAGATATTCAAATGTTTGAAGTCACTTATCTTCTATATTTAGTTTCAGGAATCTCATAGTCATTGTAATTTCAGATTTCTGAGCCTCTCCTTCTTTAATAATATTCATGTTAATTAAATTTCAACTAATACTCTGCACCCATAGGATATAGTCTTGTGATAATCTGTCTATTTGTTGATCAGGACTGCTGAATCAATTCAGTCCTGTCTCTCTATCCTATAAAGGAGTTTTCCAAGTTTGTTTCATATAATTGATAGCTACACCCGAGCCACTGCCATCAATCAGATAGGTTATTGACCTTCATCTATTAAATTGAATCTTTTATGTCTCTAGAGCTAAATTTAGGCGTTTTGCACATTTGTTTATATCTAAATCAGCTTGACTGGTTTCATATTTATATGTCTATATTTTTTGCTTAACATTTTTATTGTACTACACATTTTTTTCTTTGCTATTTTAAGATCAACAGGAACTGTTATACAAAGTTTCAATTCGGTTCCTCATATATTTATATTTTCGCTGACTGTTTATAATTTGTAATACTTTTAGAAAAATAAATATATATTGACCTTCAGCTTCACTTTCATTTGCAACTCCTATAGAAGAGAACTCCCTCAAGAATGCTCCCACGTCTATTATATACGATTACGATTTAAAATTATAACTATTCCAATACTATAATTCATTCTCTATGCAAATGCGTTCCATAGACCGTGCACAGCAAGTTACTCAAGCGATTTGTGTGTCTGTGCGCGCTTCCCAACACATTCAACTCTGGCATTTGATGTGGGCTGCTTTACCGAGGAATATATATATTTATAAATATTGAGATTTTCGGTCATTTGAATTCGTATTAAAACCGATATGAAAACGATAAAAATAACGATCAAAATCCATAAATATGTCAAGAGATGCTATGGAACAGCGCTGTCTCTACATGTTATGCTAATTGAAGAGGTTCTTAAGTTTTTGAAAAACTTTATTACCAATTCGAAAAAGCAGACAAAACAAAACGGCAGCCTTTGTAGCTATAGACAGAGTTGAGGCCAACACTGAGACATCGGCAGTTGGAGAGCTGGGGAGGTGGGGACCTGAGGTATTTCAATTGATATTGACCCGCAGCACGTCGGGTGTCAGCAGCTGCAGTAATTAGAGACCTCTAAACGTGTATTGCACAAGCCGTTGGGGCAGTTGCGTCTCTGTTTGTGGCAGTTGCACAATGGCCAGTTATGCCTTTTATGTCAGCATGATGCAGCTCAATTTACATATATACACATACATTTGCCTATATGTGTATGTGTATGTGTGTCAATTGATTTTACATTTAATTAGCAATTAAGTTAATCCTTTTGCTGCCTCTCACCTCGACTCTCGGACCGATGCTGTTGCTCCTCGATGGTGAAGCCGAACTTGTAGGGACGCACAGTGGCTGCCAGCAGACTGTGACAGCACAATAAAGTCAGCAGCTTGAATAAATTAAACAGTTATAAATTAATTCACACACTCACACACACACACACACACTGCACACTTACTGCACAAGCGAGTGCCAAAAACATTTGGCTCATTTTGCAGCTGCTCTAATTTATTTGTTTTAAATTAACTTTTAATTATCTTTTTTGAAAGCTAAACACAGCTTGTATATTACTATAATTTATATTTATTTTTATATTTGAAATGAATGCGTGGCTGTGCCGTTATGCGACGCGTCTCTCGGCTGAGCAGGCGACAAGCTGAAACACACCCCACGATGTTCGTCGACCAATTGACAAACTAAATAATATTTGGTAAACATTATAAAACATTGTCAGCTTCTACAGCTGGATGAGCCAGCTACAGAGACTGCTGTGTTTTGTATGTATATTGTCTGTGTGTGCACACGCGTGCGTGTGTGTGTGTGTGTGTGAGTTAGCATTTCAGCTACCTCATTCATAGCTGGCTTCTGCTCTCTGAATACCCTTTGATAATTTGTTTGCTTGTTTATACTCATCTGTTGGCAGACTCTAAAAATGATAGGATTTTTGACTTGAGATATAAAATATGTATGTAGATATCAGAAATAAACTGAGCTGATTATATAGATATTTATGATCACTTTAACTCTATGATATATAAGTGAACATTTTTAGAACCAGAACCTGAATTCTAGATGATTTGTTGATGTGAATCGGAAACAAAGCCTATAAAGTAGATCTTGCAAAAAGTAGGTCAATTCAAAAGAGCTGAATATATGTATATAAAATATGTATTTAATTAAAACTAGCAACAGTAATAATAAAACAGTCCACAATATTTAGAAGCAATATTTTATAGATATGATAATATATTTCCTTGTCATTCTATATATATAATTTATTATTATTATTAATTTTTTTTTTTTTTTTTATATAAAAAATATTTTTCGAATTAATATACTTAAATTTTAATTTTATATATATGCATATTTCATTCCATTAATTAAATTATTTTTTTTTTGTTAATTTTTTTATTTATTTTTAAATAAATACAAATAATTTCCTTTTAATAGTTTTAAAATTTTTCCAGGGTATACACAAGTTGTATACACTGAGAGAACACTTCATCTACTCCAGTATAAATAATTATTGGTATTTCTCAAAAGTTGTCATTATGCCATTGATTTGCATAGTTCGTAGCGAATTGGAAGAAACATGAATCAGGTAATATACTATATATATTGACACCTACGAAGACTGGCTAATTGAAAACTATCTGGCCAGTTCTGTAAATAGACGCCCAGTATGATTTATCGGCTCTGGCCATTGATGCGGCGCTCAGTTGTCAACAATGTGAATGCAATGAGGAAGAGTTCGATTGGCATGCATCATTAATTAGCCAGTCCTGAGATGCGTTGCACTTGCCGGATGCTGCGAAGATGCATCGAGTGAGCTGTCAGTTATTTTCTTGTATCGTAAAATATTGCTGTCAAGTTCAAGGTATATTTTGAGCGCACTTCTGTGCGCTTCATTTGCATATAGATTGCAACTACAGCTGCAGCTGCCTAGTTCAATAATATATTAAATAATCAGCATTAAGTTGATTTAATTGCAACTGCCGAAAAGTATGCAATGAAAAATACTCAAGTTCGTTGCCTAAGTCTTTTGTTTTGATTGTGTTTTTCAAGCGAAGCCCAAAAGTTGAACTTGGCTTTGGATTGCCAAGTGCGAGCTATGGCAACTTGACACATACTTATAGGTGGTGCAACTGACTACAGATACCCTGTAATATTTATTTCATTTAGTTGATAGACTACAAATATTCCTTAATATATATTTCTCAGCTCAACTTTTTGCTCTTGCAGCATTTTTCGTAAGCTTGAGAGACAAAAGGTGGCGAATGGGACTCGATTTGGTTTTTCTTTAGATATTTGCTGGCCGTTAAATGGGGATATACAATAGGTAAGGTTTTAAATACATAAATTCAGCTTGGTTCTTAATTGAATAAAGATAGTCATCTATATATGGTATCAATGTATTATCATATATTCTACGATAGATTTGCAGATGTTATACAAATACATATGTGTATATACTTGTGTTTCTATTCAGATATGTATAGTTGTATAAGCATGAATACATCTCATTAGTGCATGCATATTAGTTATAGTTAAAATGTCTATACAAGTCTCTATTAAGTACGCATCTTAGATTCATACAGCTATCTGTATTGATTTGCATCTACATATCTTCGTTCGATTCGCACTCATTTAGTTTGTGTTCTTCACACTTTTTAAGTGTGCATAACTATGTTGTCTTTAGATCTATCGACCTAAGTGCTTCACGCCATACGAGACTAGGGTAATTCAATATCCACCAATTGCCTCTAATCGTAATGGAGCAATCAAAGCAAACGGGTTGCTGCGCATCGAGGCGCTCGCTGCGACTGATCGAAGCTCGCAGCTGACCCAAACCTTTATACTTTGTTGCAGTTGGTCATATGTCAACATTGTTGCTGTAGCTTGAAGCCTAGTTGCTCATTTTTTGCTGTTACTTTTTGATTTGTTGTGCATGACTTGTTTAATGCTGCAAAGTGAACTCAAGTGCTTATTATTTTATTCGAGGGATTTTAACAAAACTAGCTAATCTTAAAGATTATTTTGCATTCTTTTTTCAGTTTATAATTGGGTTGTAAAAGAAAGAATTTAAAAAATCATTGAGAAATAAAAAATATATATATTCAGAAAAAGGTTATTGATCTTTATGCAAATATTTTTTAGATCCACAACAATTTGAATTGACTTTATGGCTTTGGGAATATGTTTACGTTAGCTGAAGCTCAAGCTAAACTGCGAGCCAGTGTTGAGCAATATTCCAGCTTGTTTCCGACAGTTCAATTAGTATCATTTGCAATACATTCACATCAGTCGTAGATCAACTTTTATGGCTATACATACTTATTTACAGCTTGAGAAATTGACCTTGAAAAGTTTTGGTTTTTTTTTTTTCTTTTAAATAATTTTTATCTTTGATTTTCGATTTTGATTCGCTGCTCTCCGCTAATTGGCCAAAAATTGTGGATGCATAGCTTTCATTATGTACCTATTAATTACAAAGAAACCAAAATGCCACAAAAATGAGAAAAAAAAACTCGTTTTCTCACATACACAAATTTTTGCGAATTTCGTTGATGATGCAAAATTAACGGCGAAGGTCGAGCACGGTGCGTACGCGTGAAACGAAAAGAAGAAGACCACGGAAAAAGAAAATAAAAATAATAAACATTATAATATATACATGTATATGCATATATTATATATGTATGTGTATGTTTGTATGTATGCAAATCGAGTTTTGGCTTTTATGATGAGGCCCAGCCAGCCAGTGTTACGTAATACTTTTCATTTCGCTTCAGACCTAGAACACGTTATGCAAATCAATAATTAGGAATCGAATATCTAGCCATTAGCATAACTTCTAGCGCATATACACCGTCTGTTATCTAGCTAGAAACTAAAAGTGGTTATTTAGCACACTGATCCGGGTTATAACTTTCCTTGCTTCTTCATTTTGTTTGTTTTTAAAATGTATTTCTATCTTGGCTAGCGGGGCATTAGTTTGAGAAAATGTTTGAATAGCCAGAAGACGAACGATGTTTTACGCTGATGCCAGTCGCTCCTGTATGTATATGCATATCTATAGATAGTAGATTACAAGGATTGAAACAGAAATATCTATCCCAGTACAGGCTATCTGGTGCCACCCGACGGACTTAAGATTTCGAATTGCTCGAGACGCCACAGCAGCGGTGAAGGTCACGAATTGTATGCAGAGCAGGCAGCTACTTATAGTAGTTGGTTTTTAGCAACTCAACTAGGAGTTACTCTATCCTAGCAGCTATCAAAAACTGTAAGCAAACAAATACTAAAATCTATACTAACGGAAATAAATGACGAGTCTCAAAATCAGTTTACCGTCCATGCCCATTTTCAGAGAGTATTCGCATTGATAATATATGTGCATATGTTTGAGCATCGATTTTTATGTAAATTCCGGCGTAGCCATCAGATCTATTTGATTTCCATTTGTGATTTGACGATTTGCATCTTCGATAAAAGAATAATCAGCATAGCTTTTGGCTCATCTACAATGCTCAATATGCATATGTATGTATGTATGTATGTATATGCATATGGGCAATTATTATTACACTGATTCGGATTAAATATACATGATTAGCTTTTTATTTTTATTACGTTAAATTTTATTTTACTCAAGTGGAACACTTTAACATATAATTGCTTGTTTTTTTTTTTTTTTAATTTAAATTTTCAATTTTTTCAACTGTTTAATATTTTTGAGGTTTTGTCTGTCGTGGTGTCTAGGCAACTAGCTTGATGGTGGGATGATAGCCCGTTTCGTCAGCCGTAAAGGTAATCTCGTATTTCTTGCCATCCGGCGCCGTCCAGCTGCTGGAGCCGGACACAGTGAGCACGCCCTCAGCATCGCCCACGCCCGGCTTCAGCACGCCCTCCTCGCTGCGCACAATGCCGTTGCTCGTCTCATAGCTGCCAAGTGGAAGGATCTATGTATATCTATCGAGCTCCCCTGCCCAATCTGATCAGAACTCACTTGAATGAGTATTTGTCGACGCCATTGTTATCCGTCTCCAGTCGGATGACCTCCGCCTGCGCATCATCTGGCCGGGGTAGGGCGAGCACGCAGCTACCCGCCAGGCAGACGACAACAAATAACAGGGTATAGCCTTGCATGTTCGGTTCACACTTGACTGCACTTTACTAACCCATTGACCGCAACGCCGTTTGCTTTTATATCCGATTCTCGCCTCTAAACCTATCCTAAACGCCAACGAAATAAGACAAAAATAATGATAATAATAATAATAATAATGAAAAGAAATCGCACCGCAAGCCAAGTAAACAAATTAATGAACAAATTCAATAAAATACTTTTTAATTACAGATTAACACATTGCACTATGGGTAAAAAGTCGATTTTTTTGGCATTAATTGTAAATGAAGAGCTAGGAACTTGAAATTTTAGGAATATATTATTAATATTAAAAAAGAAATTCGGATTTTTTTTTTTTACAATTGGGCGTGGCATTCAAATTTTCCGCCCCTTTTACATAT